CGCCGAAGGAGTCTTTTACGTTTCAATGCAATTTCTCTTTACATTTTCATGTAGTTTCTACGGCTTCATCCGTTCCCTCCACCACTGCCACCAGCCCCGCCGTCTCGGAGGAGGGCCCTGCACTTCTGCCGAAGCCCAGGAGATGGTGCTGTGGATTTTGGATCGGGAGCTCGGCGGCCGGGCCGGGGCCGGGGTCTGTGGGTCCCCACGGAGCCCCCAGGGACGCCGCGCACACCCGGCGTGTCTCCGCGGGAATCCTCGGCTGCCCGGATCCCTCTGCAGCCCTCCGGAATTCCCCGGGCACCTCCAGCGGCCCCCCAGAGGCCCGGCCCGGGCTGTCAGGGTGTCGTCCCTCACCCCGAGAAGCCTCAACCTCGCTGCGCTGCGGGTCAATTCACCAGCGCCGCTTTTGTACCACTCCCAGGAACGGAGGCAGTGCTTGCCTCCGCTTCGCGGCCCCTCGTCTCACCAAAGCCCCCCGAGCCCGGCTGTACACACACGTCCCCCCGCCCTGCCCGCTGCCCCCGGCACCGTGAGCTGTGCCCGGCGCCCCGGGGCTGAGAGCATCGCCCCCTTCTCACCCCCACAGGCGCCCGGAGCCCCCCGGGCCCTGCCTGCGGCTGGAGCAGCTCCCAGGGGAGCGCACCGGCCTCCTGGGGCTGCCTCTGGGCAAACAAGCACCTCTGAGGGCGTTTGCACCACGAGAGGATGCAGCAGGGAGGGTAATTTTATTTCTTTTTACTGGGTTTTTTCTACACCTTGAACTTAAATAAAGTTTTATTCGCAAAGACAGCACAGCTGCAGTTGTGGCGAACGAAAGCGCTCTCCAAAGCTTGACTCAGTGCTGGAAGAGCCGGGCAAAGCCTGCATGGGGGGCTGCCCCTGCTGCACTCGGCGCTCGGCTCTGATCTCCCCCAGGCTCGGCGTGTCAGAGGAAGAAGAGACTTCGGGCTGAGCCGCTGGAAGAAGGACAGGAAAGTTGCGGAAGATCCCAAGCCCTCCTCTTGCTGCGGGGCCGTCCGGCTGCAGCAGGCACACGCAGTCCCTCTGCTCAGAGCATGCAGGGAGACACCAACCTGACTGAAATCTGCCTGCATTCAGCCCTTGGGCGTCTGACGGCAAAATTTGGAAAATGTCTTTCATCACGGAAACTTTTCTACAAACCCAACCCTGGGAAGAGGGAAAAGGGGATTTTACTTCTCTCACAGGTGGGGAGCGGAACAGAGTAACTCTCGAGCAGAAATTGCTAAAGACGGCACAGAAAATCAGCAATCCCTGTGCTGTCCGCTCTCATCTGTACCCTGGGACCTGCCGGCGTCCTTGGCCCCTGCCCCTGCCTCCCGTCCCGCCCAGGACGGGCCGTGCCCGGCCGCTCCCAGCGGAGCCCGGGGGATGCTCCGGGGCGGCGGGCGCAGCCCTTCTGCAGCTCGGCTCCGGGCTGCTCATTTCCCGAAATAATGACCCAAGTGTGGAGGAGCTGGTGGCAGAGGGCTGCGGTACAATTAAACCAGGTAACGAGACGCTGGGCAGATGTGTTTTCATTGCGCTGTAAGATAAACGCAGTGTTAAATGCCTGACAACTTCCCAGAAGCAATCAGCAAAAGTTTACGAGTGCATAAACCTCAAAGACCATTCCTCGGTATTTTTATAAGCGCCGCATTTAAAGCTTCTATAAATTCTTCTGCTTGCTTCCAAACAAAGTTCCCGTAGACTATTAAACAGCCACTTCTTCGTGAGGTGGGGAGAGGCAGATCACAACAGGCGGGTCCAGGGAAGGCGAGAGGGGCTCTCTTTTCGTCCCCTCCACTTTGCTCTCCCCAACTCCCTCCCACACCTCCCACAAGGTAAAGTTTGTAAGAAAGTTGGCATCTTTAGAGCACGGCAAGTCACAGATGAGCAAGCACATCGGCAAGATGAAGGGATATATTCATGTCTCAAGAACAGGGGGACAGATCCAGTAGAGAGGGAAAGGAAAGAATGAAGAGAAATGAAAGGAAAAGAGAGGTGGTTGAAAAGGCGGGATGAAGCAGGTAAAAAGAATACGAGCAGATCTAGGGGCAGATCATGCAGACTGACCGGTGGACAGGCAAGAGCAAAAAAAGCTTAGACGGAGAGGGGTATTTCAGACGCAGAGAGGAAATCTAAGCGAACGCAGCCGAGGGGGAGAGGAGGCTGCCGCGGAGGTCGCCGCCGTGCCCCCGTTCCCCCGCCCCGACGGCGCGGCCCGGCAAGCGCCCCTCGCCCATCGGGCAGCCCCGGGGCAAACGGGACCCCGCCGCCTGCCGAGAGGCGCTGTACGTCGTCCCCAAAGTTGCAGAAAAAACTAGACAGTGTTAGTGAACCCACAGATCAGCGGGAGAGATCAAGCCGGAGCCCTCTGTCTTCGAAGAAATAAGATGAGGGGAATGAAATGTTCCCACTAGCCATCAAATTATAATAACAGTATCCGTCATCCTTAAGTGACCACACGAGTTTTACAAGTTGGATATTAAACAGATTAAATAATAATATAAAAAAAAACCAAATCCCTGTTGCGAACATAAAGTCCTTTGTTTATGATCCGGGGAAAATGAAGTTGCTAATTGAAAAACAATAAACCTAAAATGCCTTTGGATTAATAATGATAGAGGTTAACGGTGACATCCATCCCTCGGAAAGGGGGAGGGGAGCGAGGCGCTCGGTGACTGTGCGCTTGGACGGCGACCAGGGACAAGCGCAGCAGCCAAATGGGGCTGGGGGGGCGGGGGGTGAGACCCTCCCTCTTCGGAGGGCTCGGCTTGTATGTTCGCCTCTGATCCGGAGACACGAGGTGAGGAAGGTCTGTATTGTAGTCATGTCCTCGCTAGATGAAATCTCAGTCAATTACTCTGAAATCTGCAGCTTGGCTTCTTTTCATTCTTTCCAGGTGAAAATTCAAACGTTTTCTGTTGTCGCCTGGTCCTTTCTTTCCTGAAACAAGGCACCCAACTGTTCTGATATTACCATTCAAAAACGGGTTCTGTGGCAAACCTCATTTGTGAATCTATTACAGAGATTAATAGATTATTTCTCCTTTTTCAACTAATTCTCAGTGGGGAAATTTAACCATATGGTAAGGAGAGAATTAGAATTTCATCACATTAGAGCAAAATGTAATGAAAAGAGTCCAACACCTGGGGCCAACTCCGAAAGACACAATTAAAAGGTTTTTAATGAAACCAGAGAAACCAAAAAATTTTCATAGCCTTCAGTTATCCTGCCACATAAGAATGATTTGGAAGTGTTGGGAAATATTGTTTTTTTACTGATGTCATAAGAATGAAAACCTACCACTAAATACTCTGAGTGCTAACAGAAAAGGCGAGAGCGAGCTGCTCATCAGAGGAGTAGTGGGACAAAATTCTGACCGACCCTCGGGTTTCCACTTCAGCTTTTGGAAGAGTGCAGAGGACAGTGTTCCCGGCTCCGAGGAGGAGCCCCGAGAGAGGAGCAGGGGCTCGGAGTAACGGGGTGGCCGAGGCCGCCTCGCCCTGACACCGGCGGCGGCATCCCGGCGCTGGGGACAAGAGCGGGGGTGCTCCGGCCGAGTCGGGCTCGCTGGAGGGAAGCAGGAGGGCACGGACCCGCGAAGAGTTGGTCAGTCGCAGTAAAAAACAAATTTTAAAAAGTTTGGTGGGTTTTGCCCTTTCTCTTCCCGCCCTCTCTCTTCCCCAGATCCGTTCATTTTCAAGGTAACTGATGGGGCTTTATGTTTTTTATAGGGACACCGGGGATAATCACTCGCAAGCAGCAATCTGCTACTTGAAAAGGGATAAGGGAAGGAGGAGGGGAACCTCCCCGTAGTTTGGTCTCCGTTTGTTGGAGGGGGGGTGGGGAGAGGGAGGACTGGGGACCACCCGCCTCCCAAGGAAACAAGGTGGACTTTGGCGGTGGGCAGGAGTGGGCACGACGGCTGGGGCTGCTCCGGGGGTTTTTAATTTTATGTTTTTCTTTCCTAGGCGATGCTTTTCGGGAAGACGGGTGGGGGTGGGAGGGAGCTATAAGTTAATGTAAATGCAGGGGGTGGGTGGGCTGGGGGGAGAGGGTGTCACTCCCGACTCCACGGCTAAGTTAGCAGAAGTCTGCTGGCAGCACTCGGAAGGAGAAGTGTTGAAGTGGGCTTTTCTGCAGTGCAGGGCTGTAATTTGCTGAAGGAGGCAAAGAACATCCTTCGATCTAAGTAGGGCTTTTAGTGTGCTCATTGATGAGTGAAAGTCGCCACACATGTCAAGCTAAAGGCAGTTGTTGGGTTACTAACAGGACACAACGTCTTGCAAACATATGCGTTAAGCTGTGTATACAGATGGCAGGGAGAATAATGGAGCAGGCGCCTCTTATAAAGCTCTAGCTGCTGCCTGTCTTCAGACCTGGGAAAAGAAACTATTCAGACTCAGGGCCAGATAGCGCCTGGGATTGTTTGTTACCGTTTTAATCCTATTAATTAAAACGTTAACCTGATTGGGTAGAAAGCTCTGTCCCAACAGGCGAGTCTTCTTCATAATAACCTACTCTCAGAGATAATGATGTAAAAGACTCCCCCGTCTGCGGCGGCTGCTGGTTGATGGGTCCGGAAATCTCTTGAAGGTGAATCCAAGCAAGATAAACGGTGGAAGCGGCTCCACTGGCAGCGCACAATGCCCCAGCGCGGCGCCTGCTGAGGGCGAGCCGGAGCCGCAGCCGGAGCCACAGCCGGAGCCACAGCCGGAGCCACAGCCACAGCCCGAGCCACAGCCGCTGCCGGAGCCGCAGCCGGAGCCGCCGCCCGAGCCGGAGCCGGAGCCGCAGCCGGAGCCGCAGTCCGAGCCGCCGCCGGAGCCAGAGAAGGGGCAGCCGCGGCGCCGGGCACGGCGCAGCTCCGGCGGGAGCCGGGAAACGATTTCTGCCAGCGGGACGCCGGGGAGCCGCCCGCCGCGGCGCGGAGCCTTGGAGGAGCGGGCCGGGAGCTGAGGGGGGCGGAGGAGGCGGAGGCGAGCGGGGCGCCGATGGAGCGGGCGCTGGGGCTGCCCGCAGAAGAGGACCTCTTCCACAAGAGCCTCGCCGCCTCGGCCAAGCGCATGGAGTCCGCCTTCCGCTCGCCCCCGGGGCTCGACCTTTCCCACCCCCGCGACCGCCAGCCCTCGCCGCTCGCCTGCTACGAGGCGTCGGAGCCCGAGGCGCTGCTGCAGCCCGGAGTCGGCGGCGACCCGCTGGCGCTGCCGCCGGGCTCCGTCTGCGTCAAGTACGGCGAGAGCGCCAGCCGCAGCTCGGTGGCCGAGAGCAGCGGCGGCGAGCAGAGCCCCGACGACGACAGCGACGGCCGCTGCGAGCTGGTGCTGCGCGGCGCCGGGGGGGACCCGCGCGTCGCCTCGCCGGCGGCGGGCGGCGGCGGAGGGGGGGGCGGGGGGCTGAAGGCGGCCGAGGGCAGCTGCTCCAACAGCCACGGGCACGGCGGCAGCAAGAAGTCCAAGGAGCAGAAAGCGCTGCGGCTCAACATCAACGCGCGGGAGCGGCGGCGGATGCACGACCTGAACGACGCGCTGGACGAGCTGCGGGCGGTCATCCCCTACGCGCACAGTCCCTCGGTGCGGAAGCTCTCCAAGATCGCCACGCTCCTCCTGGCCAAGAACTACATCCTGATGCAGGCGCAGGCCCTGGAGGAGATGCGGCGCTTGGTGGCTTATCTCAACCAGGGCCAGGCCATCTCGGCCGCCTCCCTGCCCAGCTCCGCCGCGGCGGCGGCGGCGGCGGCGGCGGCGCTGCACCCCCGCCCTCGGCGCCTACGAGCAGGCGGCCGGCTACCCCTTCAGCGCCGGGCTGCCCCCCGCCACCTCCTGCCCGGAGAAATGTGCCATCTTCAACAGCGTCTCCTCCAGCCTCTGCAAACAGTGCACGGAGAAGCCTTAAGCGCCGCCGCCGTGGCCGCCCCCCGCCGCCGCCGCGGCCCCGGGGAGCGGCGACAGCCGGCGGTGCGGTCCCGGGCCGGGGGGCGCGGAGGCGGCGGAGGGACTGACCGCTGCCCGGCCCCCGCCGCCCTCTGCCCGGACGCGCCTCGCCTCGCTCTTCTCCTCGGGTGCCGCCGAGCCGGGACCGCGACGGGAGCAGCGTGCGGCGGGGAAGGGGCGCGGGCCGGGGGCGCCGCGGGCAGGGAGGAAGGCCCGGCCCGGGGGCGCCGGGGGGGCTCGCTGCGCGTCCGGACAAAGGAGAGGCCGGGAAATAGCAGGCCGGGCTGGGAGCCGGGGCTGTCGCCGGGGACAAATCAGAGAGGGCACTTGAACATAGATTTTTTTTTAATTAATTATTAGCAGTATTATTATTATTATTATTATTATTATTCTGAGCCAGGAAACAAACAAACTTGAAATGTAAACTTATTATTTAAGTGACTCGCAGAAACAAAGAGACTGGACCATTGCTAAGGAAGACTTTGTATTTTTTATCGTCTCTAAACTTTGATCCTGTGAAAATGCGCAAAGTTTGGTGAGAGTGATTTAAAAAATCGAGAGAGTTAAAAAAAAAAAGACAAAAAATAACCGGTCAAAACCCCTACTCCGTGTCGCTGAAAGTATCGCATTTTTAAAAGAAATATTTATGTGCACCTTGTTTCTTTCCACTTTGCAATGATGTATAAACAAGACATGCTATTTATTTGTTATTCTTTAAAATGACCCTTCCACGCCAACAATATTTATCATGTGTTAAGGTCATGGGTCTTATGTGCAGTTACTTTAAATGCTTCTAAAATTCTGTTTATGGATTAACTTAAACTGTGTGCCAAGTGTTTAAAACATTTATTTGCCAACAACATATAACCAGAAATGTTGATGTATCCGAGCTGCTTAGGTTTATGAAAGGTCATCTGGATTTTAAGTTGCATCATCCCTGTATTTAAATTGAGCTTTAATAAATTGCTTCAGTCCAAAAATTACAGGAAAAGTGTATTCTTAATTGCTCAACCAACTGATTTTTGAAAGGGTATTCTTTGCATTATAACAGGTAATAACTATTTACTTTTACAAGGCATCAGAGCAATAGCTGCTACAAGAATACTTGCCAAGCCAATGTTTTCCCAGGCGCTGTGTTTTCGAAGGTATAATTTAAACCGCTTTTAATGTGTATGTAAATTATTCTGACTGTGGATAATTATTTAAGTTGAAATACTTTAAATACTTTAGGCTAATTTACAGAACGCGTGGAATTCTTCTCTTCCTTTTTCACGGGATGTGGGGGGCGGGTTTTGATTTTTTTAAATTTTTTTTTTTTTTTTTTTTAAGAAAAATGAGAGATGAAAAGCAAGAAGTAGCTATTTACCCAAAGTGAGCCTTCAGTTTGAGTTTGCATGGCTGGGTGGCTGTCTCTCTGCCATTTGTAAATCAAGATTTTTTTTTTTTCATTTTCTTTTTTTTTTTTTTCTTTTCAAAAACGAGTCCTGCTTTTTTCCACTACTTGCAGATAATACAAATTCGGACTGTCAGGTTGGATGGCAAAATAGGAGCCATGATGGATCTGTTGGCAGGTCACGGATGTGTAAAGAGTGATATATATTAAATAGGTCAATCAGATTATGACAGCAATGTACGATCGTTTGTATGTGTATCTATGTCGGAAAGAATCTTTATTAAAATATTTTGAACAAACGCTTGTATTACGTTGTGCTTTGTTAAGCATATCCATCCAGATTAAAGGAGGTGGATGGTGGGGGTGGGTCGTTTTCTTTCCTTTGCCTTGCTCTGAGCGCGCCCCAGTACCCTGCCCGTCACCCCGCTCCCGGCTCCGAGTGTCCCAGGCAGGGAAGCAAGAAGTTTTTCCTCCCTGGCTGCGTTCCTCCCGCTCCCCTGGCAGGCGGCCCCCGGTGCTGGGCGGCATCCGTGGGGCAGCGCCGGGCCCTGTCCTGCTCTGCCCGGCCCGGCCCAGCCCTGCCCGGTCCTGCCCTGCCCTGCCCGTCCCGCGGCCCCACGCCCGCCCGAGCCGTGGGGTGGATGCGCCGCGGGGCGCTGCAGGACCGCCCCCCCCGCCTCCTCCCGACCCGCCGGGTTTTGGAGCCGCCCCTCCCCTCGCGGACCCTCCGCCCTGCCCCAGCGCCGAGGGCAGGGGGAGCAGGCAGCCCCCCAGGCTGTCTGCTCGGCGCTAAGCCCGGGCCGGGGTCCCGGTCCTGCGGCTCCCCCCTCCCCTCGGGCCGGCGCCGGGTGTCCGCGGAGCCGCCTCTCCCAGCGGCAGCACCACGGGCGGGGGAAGGGTATAAATATTTTCTGCTCCACTTCCCATCAAAAAAGATTAATCAGAACCTGTAACTTTTCAGGAAACATAACTGTAAAGTGCCACGGAGCTGTGGGAAGGCAGCCCAGAGAGGGTGGGCAGATCAGCCCCCAGGCGCAAGGAGAAGCGTCTCTCAGCATTTACTAGACAAAGGCTGGGTGCGTCTAATTATGATTATTAAAACAATTTCCATGACGATGTCTAATATTATGTTAATTTGAAAACAACTGTGTATGAAAACTGTCGACTATAATACCTAAATTCATTTAATGAAACACATCGTTAAGGCAATTAAACCTCCTGGATGTGATTAAGGAACATAATTACGACACTGTTCTGCGCCATAATTGGGTGTCTTTAATCAAGGGGTAAAGTGATCAGCAACACAGCCATTAGTTTGTATTGTTCTGTCTCTGCTGTCCATCATTCTGATTAGGAATTAACCACCGCCACCAGCTTGGCGTGGTGCGTGCCTGTGTGTGTGTGTCTGTGTGAGTGTGTGTTCGTGCATATAACATCGCAGGACACATTTGCTGCAATATTTACCGCTTAATGTCTCTGGCTACCGAGCGGGCTTCCTTCCCGGAGAGGTTCCCTGGGAAGGTGCGGGCGCTGCTCGGCTTTGCCCGGCCGTGGGGTGGGGGAAAATAAGCCAGGTCCCAGCAAACTCCTGGAACGGCCGGGAACTAAGGTGGGGAGAAGGCGAGGGGCTGGGGGAGGCCCACGCCCTGCCTCCCGGCTCCCGTGGCCGGGGGCAGGGTTCGAGGTGTGCGGGCCGGGCCTGGAGTGCTCCCCGGGGCTCTGGGGAGCGATGTCTGTGGCACATGGAGCGGGCTGTCCGCTCCCCGCCTGCCTCTGCCTCGGAGCGACGGGACAGCGGAATGAAAATCTTTGTCATTTCTGGCTACCGCTGCCGCCCGACTTTGGGCTGTCTTGCTTCCTCTTCGATTGTTTCGGAGGGGGCGAGGGGTCCTTGCCAGGTAGAGATGCTGCCACTCCTGGCCCCACTCTCCAGTCGCGCTGCGCCGGGCATCCTCCCTGGGAAGCGGCGCGAAGCCACTGGGCCAGTCCCTGAGCGGGTCCTGCCAATGCAAGCGTAATGTGTGCCGGGCTGGGGGGAGGAGAGAGGCTCCCCCGCCCGCCTTAAAGCTTGACAGATCACTTAGCCAGAAATGAACATGTACCCTTTCAAAAGAGCTTCCTCCCCGTTCCCAATCGCCCCACCGAACCGGGATCTCCCTCAGCCTCATCCGGAGCTCCCTCTGCCCCCGCCGCCCAGCCTGGCTCCCTTCCCCGGCCCCTTACCCCGGCTCGGAGCCTAGATTGTCCCAGCATGAGTGACATTGGCTTTCCTAATGTAATGACTTATGAAAGATATAATCATGTGTTAAATTGAATCCTCCGCTTAACTGTTAATGGTGTGCTCTGGGCACATTTACGTATTAGATGCTATGGTAACTAATTACCACTAGAAGAAGGGATAATACACTTTCCAGACTTTGACAAATAATTATGAGTGTTCACATCCCTGCTAGCAGCAGTTGCAGCGGATCTGCTGGAATGAGTAAGTGAATAAATGAATGGGTAAGTGAACTTGTGTGCATGGAGGGGACTAGATAATGAATAGTGGTCAAGTGAGTTTTCTTATTAAAACCTTTAATGAAAATGTGATTTAGGGTGGAAGGGGGAAAAAAGTGAGACGCTGCCTCTAAACGTAATTAAATCGAGTAATATAAACATCAGAAACATAAATAAGTTTGCTTTTAATTAAAACTCAGCAGTCAAAGTAAATTATCCACGTGCTCGGAAACTTCTTTGCAGCAATTAACACTTTTTTTTTTTTTTTTTTTTTTTTTTTTTTTTTTTTTTTTTTTTTTTTTTTTTGTGGCGGTACTGGTGGCGGAGGGAGGCTGTTGGGGGGTAAAACAAACGAGCCGGGACTCCCGACTCTCTCCAGGATCATTTGTAACTGTGATCGCACCGTCCCTGCCCACAGGCCAGACTGATCCTGAGGCTCTAAGCAATGGGCGAAGAGCTCCTTGTCGCAGCGGGACAAAAGTTTGGGGAAGTCGCTCTGGGCCCCGGCCCCTCCGCCCGCCCGCTCCGCGGGGTCGCTGCTGCCCGTCGGGGCCCGGCCCCGCCTGGGAGAGCTCCGGCACCAGCGGAGCCCACGGAGGGCGCAGGGCAGGCTGTCCCTGAAGCGTTGTGCATGGCTTAGGCAGGCGCCGCAGGGGTTAAGCCGATTGCGCCCGTTCCTGCGCTGCCATCCCGCCGGAGCAGGGGCAGAGCCGGGAGCCGGAGCCGGGAGCCGGAGCCGGCACGGCTGCCCCGGCCCCCAGCCCCACGCGGGGGCTCCTAGCGGCCCTCCACGCCGCAGAGAGGACATCTGCTAAATGAGCACAGAGCTGCAGCCAGCCCCATTTACCCCCGGTCACTCATCAGCTCGGTGTCACCCAGCCCGCCCACACCCGCCCCCGAAGCGCTCCGGAGGGGAATTTGGTCTGGTTCGGCTCGTTCTCCAGCCTCGGGAAGGGTTAAATCCTTCCCCAAGCCCCTAGTTGCCCTTGTCCTCTCAACCTGATTCAGAGACGTGTAATAAAATAGGAAGCAAATTTATGGTCTGTTTCAAGCACTTTACTGCTGTATTTTTA